GCACTACTGTCAATCAATGGTGGTCACCGGCAATCAAAATACTAATTTTGAAGATGCTGAGTGGAAATTAGAGCACTGACGAGACTGTGAAAATGAGCCGTTTGCTAAATGTACTGGGGAAATGAGCTCTGACAAATAGCACTGACTCAAAATAACACTGGTCAAACCCTTTCAAGCTCCAAAAGGTAATAAAATCTGATTTATTTTATGTTTTTGCAATTGACAATAAAGCAGAAAGCATCACTTTTGATACTGCAATTTCATGCTCCCAAATTTGTGCAAACCAAGTAGGGTTATAAACTAAATTAGAACACAATTATGTGTCATTAACAAACTAAGCAGCTGGTAACTTTAAAACTATAACCTTCCTCTAGGAGATGTCATATGTCAGACTTGCGCCTGACTTAGGCAGAAAAAACCTTACAATTAAAAGGTTCTATCTGACATTTTTGTCAAATTGAGTTGTTGACATTCTTATTAAATGACATCTTATTTACATTATCGGGAGTTGTTTACATTTCAAAACGTTTTATTTAAAAAACAAATGCTACACACATACTGTTTGCTATGGAATGCAAAAACTTTGAAGCTCAATACTCAAAATCATTGAGAACGCAGAAAAAAAACATATAATTCCAATGTGACGATGTGTTGCTGTCAAACATGATTACTTCAAAGAGTCATGCGTCTAGATCGAGGTCATGCTCCCACCTAAAAGTATGTTTTATTATTTCAAAAAAATATATATTGTATGTAATTTTGACGTTGTGACTGCTGCATTTTGTTAAGAAATTTGATATTTTAGTATTTTATTTTAAAATACATTTTCCAACCCTGAGCTAATGCCACGGATTAATCTAAATCTCATTGAATTCAATGCGAATAACCAAAATTCCATAATAAAAAACATTTTATAAACGATAAAATTCAAACTGTAACATAAATCCTTCTCACATTAAAGATATAAACACATCATTTACACTATTTTAAAACAATTTAATAGTTATTTTCAACACCAATGAACCTCCCTAAAAGAAAAAAACAAACAAACATAAAATGCATTAAAACTTTTGATCAAAGCATCTGTAAAAGAAATATATATTATAATGTAAATGATGGTTTTATGGAAGTGAAAACTAAGATTAACTAACATAATTCAATACCTTTTTTATTCTGCATCTATTAACTATAAAATTAGAGGGTTAAATTGAACCAAGAACATGAAAATGAAAAAGGCACAAATCATATATATATATATATATATATATATATATATATATATATATATATATATATTTATTTTAAATCATAGTTTAAATAGTATTTTTCAGAACTCAAATTGACTTAAGAGTTTATAAAATCATAATACAATGGTCATTTTTATATTGACATGTCACCTTCGACATGTATCAGAATCTCTAAAATTGAAGCATCAATGTGACTGTTCAAAATCCATGTGTACTGTAACTGTTCTGTAAAGTAGTGCATGGTTCAAAATGGTAAGGGGAATTTTTTAGTATAAGTGATTTTTTTGCATGATGTTAAAGGGCACCTATGATGGACAGAACTGTATGTAGGTATAGTGTGTCCACAATCATATTGTGGAGAGATAAACACACTAAGGTACTATCCCAATTCTTTTTTTAACCCCTACCCGTTCCCCTTCTTCTTGGCCCTTTCAACCGAGGGTTAAGGGGAAGGGCTTCAAAATTTATTGGGACCGCACTACAACACCTGCACACGTCATCATACGTCATCGCCATCTCTTGCTTAATTTGAGATCAGACATTGGCAACTGCTGTAGAGATTCCAGTTGTGCTATTTTTTGGTATTAATCTTCAGGAAATGACTGAAGGTGTATATTATGTTATTATAACGATCTAATGTGGCAATAAGATCTTTATACTGTGCATTTACACAGTGGCCATACTCATCAATGTGTAAACACCAAAAACAACATTAACATTATAGCAGACACTGTAAAAAGCTCATTGAAAGCCACTAAACTTTCTGACAGGGTATTCCAGTGTCATCGAGTGTCAGAATGTTGTGGGACTGCTGTACTGAAGTTATTATTGGGGATTATAGATCGCAAAATTTAGCTTTATTTTAGCGTTTTTTTTTTAAGCATGATGGTAAAACACTAATGCGGTTATGAATATGTCAAAACATGTTTGTTTGTTGTAAAAATTCGTACTAATGACAAAAAAATACTAATTTGTGGATCTCCGGGTGCAGCTGTGGCTGGCGAATTCTGGGAATTTTTTCCCTCCCTTGGTGAGAAAGTGTGGTCCTGAAAAATCTTTGTTTGAAGGGGTGTATACCCCTTGCCCTTTGCCCTACGCCTTCGAGCTAAAGAGAATTGGGACACTAGTATTGCTTCACGGGCACACGCAAAACAAGAGGTAGGGGTAAGGGGCTAAGGGGTAAAATTTGGATTGGGCCTAAGTCTCCTTTTTTATTTCCTGAAGTTAAAATAGCATCAAAATTCCTTCCATTT